CAAGTGCAATGGGCACATCATCCCTTCCCTCCTCTTCCTCTGATGACAGCTCCTCCACTGCAATCTGTTGCTGCTCCTTCTGAGGGTCTACAAGTTCTTCTGTAATGAGTTCAGTTCTATGCTCCTCCACCAACTCCTCCACATATTCTTCAGTCACCTCTAGGCCCAAGGACACAATATCCTCCATTGGGTCAGGCTCATTTTCAAACCCTTCAAAATCCCTGGCTGCAACAAATTCAGGTCACAATTTCTTCCATGTTGACTGCATGGTCCTAGAAGACATTCCCCCAGGCTTTGTCTATAAGCTTCAAGCAGGTGAGGATATTGAAATGGTCCTTTCAGAAATCCCCGAGGGTTAAATTTTTTTCTGAAGTGATTTCAAAGCACCTTTCAAAAAAATGCTTTGGTGTAGAGTTTCTTCAAGTTAGAAATGACCTGCTGGTCCATGGGCTGGATGAGAGGAGTGGTGTTAGGAGGTAAGAACTTCACAGTTAAAAAACTCGACTCCTCCAGCAACTCATTTTCCATTCTTGGAGGGTGAACAGGAGCATTATCCATAAGTAAAAAAAACCCTGAGTGGCAATTGTTTTATAATGAGGTACTTTTTGACAGTGGGACCAAAGATCTTATTAACCCACTCAATAAAAAATTGTCCTGTTGCCCAAGCTTTTGTTTTGGCCCTCCACATTACAGTCAATTTGTTTTTCATAACATTGTTCTTCTTAAAAACTCGTGGATTTTTGGAATGATAAACAAGTAAGGAATGATAAACAGGGTTGGATGAAGGCATGGGTTTTAAAGGCCGCAGCCCAGGGGCCTCTGAAAGCTGGAGGGCCTCCAGGGGCCGCAGACCAGGGTCCTCCGCTAGCTGGAGGGCCTCCAGGGGCTGCAGATGAGGGTCCTCCACTAGCTGGAGGGCCTCCAGGGGCTGCAGACCAGGGTCCTCCACTAGCTGGAGGTCCTCCACTAGCTGGAGGGCCTCCAGGGGCTGCAGACCAGGGTCCTCCGCACTAGTAGGAGGGGCTCCCGGGGGTCTGCAGACCAGGTGTCCTCCACCAGCTGGAGGGGCCTGTCCAGGTGCTCGGTTAAGAATATAGATGGTATAAAAATACGACACAATGGAAATATATAACACTTAATGCACTAGTATAATGCTGTGAGATCCTTTATTGACTAGTTATCACAACACAGTGGGCTTTTTCAAGTCATCAAACAGATCTGTTGGACTTGAAAAAAGCCCACTGTGTGGTGTTGAAACGTAGTCAATAAAGGATCAGCATTATACTGCATATGTGTTTATGCCTCCAGGGCTCAGACAGGGTCCTCCAAGACCTTTTTTTAAAGGCTGGAGTCTCCAGGGGCCGGCCAGACCAGGGGTCCGCCCCCTCTAGCTGTCAAGCCCGCACAGTACCTGTAAGCCAGGAGCCTCACCAGTACCTGTTTAGCCCAGAGAGCCTCACCAAGTACCTTGTTAGCCCCCAGGGCCTCACAGCAGTACCTGGTGGCCCCAGGATGCCTCACAGTACCCTGTAGCCCCAGAGCGCCTGTCACAGTAACCCTGTACCCAGGAGCCTTGCAGTACCTGCAGGCCAAAAGCATCACAGTAACCTGGAAGTTCCCAGAAAGCCTCACCAGTTACCTGTGCCCAGGAGCCTCACGAAAGAGAGACCTGTAGCCCACGAGCATACAGTACTGTAGCCCCAGGAGCCTCACACAGTACCTGTAGCCCAGGAAGCCTCGCACAAGTACCTGTCAGCCAGGAGCTTGCACAGAGTACCTGTTGCCCAGGGGCCTACAGTCCTGTAGCCCAGGAGCTGCACTAGTACCTGTAGTCCCAGGGCTGCACAGTACCTGGTAGCCCAGTTGCCTCTCAGTACCTGTAGCCCAGGAGCTGCACAAGTACCTGTCGCCCTGGGAGCCTCACAGTACTGTAGCCAAGGAGATTGCACAGTACCTGTAGCCCAGGCAGGCTTGCACAGTCCTGTAGCCCAGGAGCCTCATCCAGTACCTGGTGCCCAGGATCCTCCAGTAACCTGCCAGCCCAGGAGCCTCACAGTACCCTGTAGCCCAGGAGGACTACTCACGAGTAATCCTGTAGCCCAGGAGCCATCACCAGTACCTGTATAGCCCAGGACCTCACAGTACCTGAGGCCCAAAGCCTCACGAGTACCTGTAGCCCAGGAGCTCACAGTACTTGGTGACCCAGGAGCCCTCACAGTTACTGTAGCCCAGGAGCCTACAGTACCTGTAGCCCAGGAGCCTCACAGTACCTGTAGCCCAGGGAGCCTCACAGTAACCTGTAGCCCAGGAGCCTCACAATACCTGTAGCCAGGAGCCTTCACAGTACCTGTAGCCCAGGAGCCTCACTCAGTACCTGTAGCCAGGAGCCTTCACTCAGTACCTGGTAGCCAGGAGCCTTCACAGTACCTGTAGCCCAGGAGCTCACAGTACCTGTAGCTCAGGAGTCTCACAGTACCATGTAGCCCAGAGCAGCCTCGAC